TGCGTCCCTGCCCTGCACTCCTCCCCAATTTACACATGCCCACACTAGAACCATCCAGACACATGGAGCTGCTTCCTTCGACACACACTTCGCTGCTTCATGCTCCAGCCCTGTGAGCATCCTCTCTCAATTATCTTCTGACAGGTGCTCACCTCCTACCCCTGCCTCTAGACTCCTTGCAAGAGTCACCTCCTGAATGTAGGTTTTTCAGGTGTTCACTCTGGGCAGAACTGGCTGTGCCCTCGTCCCCATCCCACTCCTGCCCCACACTATCAGTAGGGATATCCTATGTTGCTTTTGTGATACTTCACTACATTTAACCATCTACATCCTTCAAGAGGTTTTGGCTGCCTGAAGACAATATGTTGTTTCACATAAAGTAATGTAAAGCAAAAAGGATGCCGCTAGGGCTAGTAGACCGAGCAAGAGTGGATTCTTCTCAGTCCATGAACGGACCTTGCTGTGTGCACCCTGACAGCTCCCACGACTCCTTCCCAGCAGCCCTCACAACTGGACATCCCCACATAAGATTTCATTAATACTGGTCTCCCTGACTAGACTAGAAACTTCAGGGACCCTTTCTTTATTGTTACTTAAGTGCCAGGGACCCTACCTAAAATCTCAAAAAGTAACATTCATCTTATGAACAAAAGCATTTTGGTCAGAGAACTTGATTTATGTTTTTACCACCATTTTTCCTGACCATTCTGACAAACTCCTTGGATATATTTTAAAAGAATACTTGATGATATTACATCTTTCCTTTACTACATCTATACAGCCTGAATTAAAAATCAGCACTATGCTAGTAGAAATGTAAAATACAGTCACTACTGTGGGAAACAGTACTGCATGATGCTTCCTCAAAAAGGATTACCATATAATCCAGCAGTTTTACTTCTGGATATCAAAAGCAAAGTCTCAAACAGATATTTGTATACCCATGTTCTTGACAACATTATTCACAATAGTCAAAATGTTGAAACAACCTATATGTCCATTCATGGATAATGGATAAGCAAAATGTATTAACATGTAATGGAATGTTACTTAGCCTTAAAAGGGAAGAAAACCCTATCGTATGCCATAACACAGGTGAATTTCTAAGACATTATGCTAGATGAAATGAACCAGTCACAAAAGCTCATAAAAACTGTATAATTACACTAATATGAGACACCTAAAATATTCAAAATCATAAGAGACAGAAAGTAGAATAATGAGGCTCAAGGGCTTCTCAAGGAATACTAGGTAGTTACTGTTTAAGGCTATGGAGTTTCAATTTGGAAAGATGAAAAACTTTGGGAAATAGCTGGTGACAATGATTGTACAACAATATGAAGGTACATTATACCACTGAATGTACTTAAAAATGGTTAATTTTGTGTTATGTATATTTCACCAAATTTTTGTTTTATTTTCAGCTCTATTTGAGGTATGATTGACAAACCATATAAATTTAAAGTACACAACTTTTGTAAATTAAAATTTATTCTTAAAACATCCGTCCTGCAGTGAGCCCTCTGGAAGTTCTTCTAACCAAGCCACACAACTGAATCAGGCAGCTGGTTGCTTAAACTAGATATTTGTATTTCAACTGATCCCTGAGATTATTAGGAAGCGGATAGATTTTTAATCTTTTCTCCTCTCAATCTAAAAAGGTCATCCCAGGGGTATCTTGTGTGAGAGGAATTCCTCTTTGCCAGTTACTTTTAAACAACAATCAACAAGAAAGTTCCTCTTAGAGAAATAAGACAGGAATGAGGCGCTGGGGAGAATGTGGCCTCTCAGGTGCACCTACAAGGAAGGCTCAAGGTACTGAGCCATCTTCAGATGCCTCCAGGGTAGGTGACAAAGCCCACTGAAACCACAAGTGGGGAGCCCCCTCCTGGGATGGCCCCTTTGCCCACGTGGCCAGTACTCTGAGCATTGCAGATTCTGTGTATGGAAACATGGGGGCATGGAGCCCTGGAACCCCCTTCCTGTTTTGTCCAAGTAACAGCTGGACCTCCAGGAAAGCCGGGAAGGCGGTGTGGCCCCGCTTTGCTTTAGTGACTGACATCCTGATAGCTCACTGTTAGAGCCTCGGGGCTTAGCATATTTGTTGTGCTGCTTCCCAAAAGTCAGGGTTTTTCCAGGGGTAGAAGCTTAGCCAGGCAGCCGGTGATGGGCTCAGCAGATGCAGTGACTGGGACATAGGAAGTACAGTTTGCTCCTCAGAGGTGCCTTGAGGCAGGAGTACCATGACTAGGACTGCTGCATGCTGCATGAGTCTGCTCCAAGTCAGGTTTTCTGGGAATGTGGCAGGACTTCACCTGTCAGTCCTAAAAGTTAACTCCTGCTTTCTCCCAAAGGCTTTCAGTTTACAGCACATATTACATGAGAAACCAAAATTCGGGCCCCAGCTCTTCTGTGGCCATCACTTATCCCGCTGCACCCCAGGATCTTCTTCTATTGACCCATCCTGGTCCTGACTGCAACAAGTAGAAAGGTACAAGGCCCATCCTCAAAAATGCACCCAGACACTGGCCTTCACTGAGACACTTACACCTGCCCCACATATTGTGTACTGAGGCAGGGTCACAGTATGACACCTGAGGGTTGGGGCACTTTTGTCCTCAAGAACCTCTTCCTTTATACAAAAAAAATTAAATATACTTTACAACTGCTTTTGTAAAAAGATAAGTATATTAATAATATAGAGTAAAATGATTTCTTCTACCTAAAATTTCATTTTCCTAATTTTAAAATAAAACTTTTTGTTTTGTTATTTTTTGGTACCGGGATCGAACTCGGGAACTTGCACTTGCAAAGCAGGTGGTAGAACCACTGAGCTAAATCCCCGGCCCTAAAATAAAACTTTTTGAGGGACTCCTAGAAGTGTTGTGGCCTCAGGCGGCACACCTTCTCCACCTAATGAATATGTCAGCTCCCCTAGGAGGGACTTGGGGATAGGAGATAAAAGAAACCCAGCTATGTGGGAAGGCTCAACCTTAGCTACAGTATGACCTTGGCCACTCATTTCATCTATTCTTGCCTCAATTTCTTCACCTGATGATTATGATGTATCTATCTCATAAAATTTGAGAGGATTACATTAAGATCATATATGGGCTGGGGGTATAGCTCAGAGGTGTGTGTGGCATGTGTGAGGCCCTGGCTTTGATTCCCAGACCACACACACACACACACAAACACACACACACACACACATCTTAGGATGGTGTCTGACACAGAACATGGACTATAAACTGGTAGCAGCCTTTCTTATTTTTGTTACTGTTCCTAGCCTCCCAGCTTACCACCCGTCTTAACTGATGCTATGTATGGGGAAAAAAGTAAGGTAGAGCCTCCAGCTTACGGGGACATCTAGTTTAAACTCCCTAGGGCACAGGCAGATCATTCAGTAAAATTTTATTATCATAGAATTCTTTGGCAGAATTTCCCATGACAAACCCTGAGGAAACCTAAACTAAATCTGATGACCTTCTCTTGACCTGAGACTGAGGTAAATCAGATTGCTGGGTGGAGAGGAGGGGAGTCACTGAACTGTAATCTGCCACCTATTTCTCTCCTTCTGTTTAACAGGTGTCAGAACCCAGAGAATTTAGTCCCTTTTAAAATCCAAAGGACTCTGGGATAAATTAATTTCTTAATCCCTTAACAGACACCCAAGAAGAAGGTCTGACAGCTGGGTTTTCTGAGAGGATGTGAATGAGTATGTGTCAGGGTCTTTACATACATTATCTCGTTTAATCTGGACAATAACTCTATTGGTATGGATTATGGTCCCCATTTTATAAATGTGCAAACAGAGGCTCAGAGAGGATTTGTGACTTGCTTGAAGGTCATACTCCTTCCTGACATCCTAGAAGAGCAATGAGTACTGAGAGAAGAAAGATAAAGTAGAAAGGGAAGCACTCTGCCTGACTACAGCTGATCTGCTGAAATGCACTGGCCCTTAGTTTCCCCAATGCTCCAGGAGAGAGTTGACCCAGGGATCCTAAGCAATCTTCTGTTCTCACCCCAGTCCTTGCCTGGTCAGAGCTACCAACTGGCTCCTTTCCCATGGCTTTGATCTGAAGGCTTGTGTCCTCATAAAATGCATATGTTAAAAACCTAACCCCTAAGGTTATGGTATTGGCAAGTGAGGTCCTTGGGAGGTAATTAAGTCATGAAGGTAGAGCCCTCTTGTGAGGGAATTGTCCCCTGATAAAAGAGACCTCAAAAAGCTCCCTCCTGCCTTTCACAGTCTGAGGTTAGAGTGAGAAGGTGGTAGACACAGACTTTGTCAGTACCTTGATCTTGAACTTTCAGCCTCCAGAAATGTAAGAAATAAATTCCTATTGTTTCTAAGCCACCTCACCAATGGTACTTCCTTATGGCCACCCAAACTGACTAAAATGCAGGCCTGCCTGTGACATTTCCTCAGTTCCTGGGAAGGACAATCCCCTCCTCCCCCTGTGATGCCTCCCCTCCCTGAGCCCCAAAGTATCGCTCCTTTGAGGTCTTTCTAATGAGTTAAATTGTTGCTACACTGGAAAGCTTGTGGGCCCCTGAAAACTGGAAATCCCCAGTTAGTCACAGAATAGCCACCCAGAGGATCTCCCTGCATGCTTGTTTTTTTTAGCAAAAGACACTTGCCAGTATGGCTGGTCTCCTCTGTGAAGGTAAACATGTGAGTCACCTGCAGCAGTCAAGAGCCTCTCCACCACTTCCTGCCAGCTCTCCTCTCCTCAGGAATGTGAGTGACTCCAAAAGTGGAGTCCTGGGGCTGGGATTTAGCTCAGTGGTTTGGCTGCCTGCTGTGCAAGCGCAAGGACCTGAGTTCGATACCCCGGTACCCCCCCCCCAAAAGTGGAGTCCTGCTTGTCTGACTGTGAGGCATGAAATCACACACCCAGGGAGGGCTGACAGAGCCAGACAAGGCAGCTCTGAACAGGAGCAGTAGGGGATGGGATGAGGCCCCACCCAGCAGTGAGGGGAGGACACAGTCCTACCTCCAAAGGCTGGTCTCATGGTGAAGTCATGGTCATCCACTCGGAGAAGTGGCTGAGGTTTTCCTGTTCGGATTCTGGTCACATCAAGGTTCTTTTTATATGAGTGACTGCAAAGACAAACCAGAAATACTTTTCCAGTAGTCTGCCAAGGCAGGGAGTAAGATGATTTGAGGAGCTGTCTCTATCCTGCCAGTCCTTCTCAGCCAGAGAGGGGGAGAACTGAAGGATCCTTCCCACCATCATCCCACATCCACACAGTATTATAGTCAGCTAAGTTAGATAGAAATTAATATACAGCCACAAAGGAAGTCAGCACACATACAAAAAAGACATCAGAATTGCAGGTGGAGGTACATCTGAAGAAAGCCAGTTCTCAAGATAAAGATACAATGTCCAGGCCTACATGCCTCCTAAAGGGATAAACAGTAACTTAAAATTATACTGTAATTAGCACCACCTGGTCCAGTAGGTTGAGCTAGGCTTCAGACACCCAGGTGACCAGAGCATCTGGACCCATTCCTTCCCCAAAATGCTTTTGTTCTTTCCTTGTACCCCTGCTATGTGACTCGTTTCCCTGCTGAATCAATATTAGCTAAGTGGTTATACTTGTAATTCTATAGGTTGATTGTAATTTGACCCATGTTGTGTGTATAAATTACCCCTGACAAAGGGTATCAGTGGCCACCCCATTCAGGACCCCTCCTGGAAATCCAGGAGCTATTCTTCTCCTTATTTCCAATAAAAACTCTTCTAACTTCTTACTTTGGTTTGCAACTTCATTCCTTAACGTTATGGGACTACAGACTCGGTACATTTGACATCAGCAGGTCAGGAGTTATATTTCTCCTATATCAACAGGACCAGATCTTTCCACAGTCTTCCTAAAGTAGACTCCACCACTACCTCCAACACCACCTCCAACCTGGGCAAGCTCTTGATTGTCTTGCCAAAATTATGATTGGATGAAAATGGCTGGGTTAGGAAGAAAATGTTCAAATGGGAGGGGACACTAAGGAGGGAGGAGTGGGAAAGGAAGAAAGAGAAAAGAAAAAAATGAGAAAAGAAAGATAAAATGGAAACAAAGCTTTTGTAAATAAAGAAGGGAAGAGGGGTCAAAGGGAGGGGAGGGGAATGAAAAAAAAAAAAAGAATCAAGATATGTCATGCACAGGGCTGGGGATTTAGCTCAGTGGTTCTGGCGCCTGCCTTGCAAGTGCAAGGTTCTGAGTTCAATCCCTGGTACCAAAAAAATATATATATATCTTGTACAGGTACAAATTCCATATGATAAAAGCAATCAATATGTATATCTGAATTGTACCAATAAACTTAATTTTTAAAAGATTTTTAAAATTTTAAATTCTTAAAGATTTTAAATTTTAAAAGATTTTTTTAAAAGAAAAGAAAAGAAATGGTTGGGTTGAGTGATGGAGGGATTTTTTAATTTCTTTTTTTTTTTTTGTCTTTTCAAAACTTTCTTGTTGTTGAGGTGCTATAGAAGAAATAAAAAGTAGGTAGAAAGGAGACAAGAAAATTGAGATTTTTTTAGGTTGTACTTTTAAGAAACACTGCAGCTTCAAGACAAGCTTTTTTCCTGCTTCTGGAGGCTACCCTAGCTTGTGACCCGACCCTGCCTTCCATCCTCTGGGCACTGGACTTGTCTTTTTCACCTGCAAAGTGTGCCTGCAGATTGCTCTTCCTCCACCCCAGAAAGCAGCTGCATTGGCAGCAGCATATCGCAACTTCAAACATGGATTGATGGCCCGCACTATAACCTGACAGACATGAGAATATACATCCTAGATCAGTGGTGGCAAACCTATGGCATGCATGTTGTTTTTCTTTTAAGACCAAAAATGTTAATGTATGAGTTGTTTTTTCTAAACTAAAACCTCAGTATTCAGGTTTAATTGCAGTGTTGGCACTTTGTGATAAATGAGTTTGGGGTTGCAGTTTGGGCACTTGACTCTAAAAGGTTTGCCATCACTGTCCTAGATCTCCTATCTTGAGGACACCCTTGAAATGTGCTCTGCTCCAGCTTGTAACATGTTCTCATTTCTCTGAGCACCCACACTCAATTCTGAGTGTGTCCTATATCTCCAATAAACCTTCTCATATCTCTTTTTAAACTAGTAAATTTCTTTTTAAACTAATAAACCTTCTCACATCTCTTTTTTACTGGCACATCCAGAAAATTCCTTTTCTATGAGGAAAGTCAGTGAACCTGCAAACTTACTTTAACAGGGTGGGATAGGATCTTTATTTCAGCCTCAGGGACCTCACAGACTCAACCCAGGGACGTTGTTTCTGGGTTTGTAATAAATATGCCTCTGAGACAAATGTAGTCACGGTTTTAAAATGCTGGGTTTTTTCCTAGCCCAATTCCATGCTTTCATTGAATTGCCATCCCAGTGGCAGGTCTACATGCCACCCCCTGTAGAAAGCTCCCATCCTCAGAACAGAAAACCCACAGCCAGCTGGGATCAAGACTGAGTTAAGAACTGAATTGGTCTGGACACCCAATGAGATGGTGGCAGCCAGGTGGCGGCCAGAGCTGAAGGCCAGGACTGCAGGCTTTGATCAAATCCTTTTCCTCTAAATTAAGTGACAAAGGACTGATTCTCTCTTCATTCTCTTTCCAGATCATTGTCTTTACCAAAACTACACACATCCCTAAAGCAGTCAAATTCAAAATACCTAAAGTCATTGTCTACTGACAAGGTTCTAACTAAGAAAAAGAAAAAGAAGAGGAAGAAGCAAAGAAAAGAAGAAGCACTGAACTAGCAATAAAGTTTTTTGTGATTGTGGAACTTCCTCTCCGGAGCTGGACATGGATCTGAGGTCCTGTCCCCTTGAAGCATGTGTGCTTGAAGCCTGGTGTCCCAAGGAGCTTCCACACCCACCAGTCTCTGCCCTAATCCTTGCATCCAGGGGTCAGTGTAACCCGGTTCCCTGGGCAGTCAGTGTAAGAAACCATGACCAGACATTCAGCAAAGATGCCAGGGAAGGCGGATGAAGGGCTCAGCCAAGGGCTTATCAGATCATAGACATTAAATTGTGAGTACAGCCGGCTCACTGCTGCTCTACCTCATGGGGAGCAAATCCCTCCTGTCAACACAGTTTCCACATTTATTTAGGGGAGGATTAGGGAACCGGAAGTCCCAGAATGCCTCCATCCCAACAAGAGAGAGGAGATTTAAATCCTGTTGGCACTGAGGGCTCAGAATTTGTTTTTTTTAAGGGCCCAGTTGTTTGATCACTGAAGCTGCTAAGATCCTGAGCCTTGGGCTGTTTCCATGTGCCGGCTCTGCTCTATTCGTCCTTTCACAGGGCTGGCCCATCACTGTCAGGATAGCCTCTACCCTCAGCCCCAGTCTCTTGAGACCTCTCCCCACAACAAGGCAGCCAGACTTCAGACCTGGCCTTTGGTGGGAGGATGTTGGTGATAGAAGAAAATTGCTTCAGTGTGCCTTTGGAAGCAAAGCTAGAGTCATCACGTGGTTTATTCAGCAGTAGCAATGATCACACCCCTATCTGCTCCTGCTATCATCTTTAGCCACTCCTCACCCTATTCTCACTCCCCCTCTTCAGTTGGAGAAACTGAAATCAGAAATAAGAAACATAGCCACATGACCAGAGAGTGGCAGAACCAGGCCCAAGCCTAGTTTCCTTGACCTCTCGCCTCCTTTTCCTTCCCGGGACCTTCAGCAATGAGCAGGAGAGCAAAGCTACTTCTTGGTCCAGCATGAGAGAACCATGACACAAACCAAGAAGAGGGCTAAGAGCAGACATCCCAGGGAGGCAGCAGATGGGAAAGGGAAACACAGGGGCCCTCCAGGCTGGCTCTGAGACAGAAGGGACCATACTCCCACAGCCAGCTGGACATTTGGTTTATTTTTCACATCTTAAAGGGAGAAGGACATCCACAAAAAGAAAGCTATCAGAAGCCAACTTGGACAGCAGACTGGGAGGAGTTGGGGCAAAGTGGGGAGGCTGAGAAGCAGAAGAAAACAGCTGGGAGAAAGCAGACTTGCTTGGCAGCCATTAAATAAACAGGGACACGAGCAAGAAACACGAAGCAGTTTTTGAAAAAGCAACTTTTGGGTAGAATAATTTTGTGTAGGTGCATTGGCCTGGGCAATGCAGGGAAGACTGACAGGATAGAAGAGTTCCTGACAGTGCATGTGAGTGACTGTGTGAGTGTGTGACCATGTGTGAGGAACCATGTATGAGTACAAAACCACGAGTAGTATGTGATGTGAGTGCACTACCGCATGCTCACAGTAGTTTTTGTGTATGACCAGAATTGCCAGGAAGTGTTCTAAGACTATAAGCAAAAAGAGTCAGGTCATTTTATTCCTAGTTATTAGTATACTTTTTAACCGTGTGTATAGATTAGATAATGAAAGTAGTTTTGAAAACTGGTGTCAGATGCACAGTTGGAATTTTACTCAGGGCCACAGTTGCTAGCCTTCCTCCCAGCCTCAGTCCAAGAATGATTTTGTTTCCCCACTTTAACACCTCAGGAGATGACTTTCAAGAAATTCTCCTCACCATAAGAGTCAGATTTATGTTGTCCCCATGTGCCCATGCAAGCATCTAGAAATGAGCCCCTGTTTATGCATCTGCACAGTGACCCTGTCTGGGCTGTTTCCAAGGTGTGCTCCCTGGGATAGCAGTCCTACAAGATAATTGTTGTCCCTGTTTTTCAGAAATACTGAACAATTCGTCCCCCCTCTTCAAGGTTCACCTTGCCTATTTGCATAACAAAGGTTCTGGAAGTTCTGCTGTAAAGAATTTCTAGAAAGACCATCTGTTTAAACTTTTTTTGTTTTTGTTTTTTGTTTTTAGTACCAGAGATCAAACTTGGGACCTTGTGCTTGCAATGCAGGCGCCGGAGCCCATGACCATCTGTTTAAAATGGCCTAACCCAAAATTTTCCAGTCTCCTTTGGCCACGCAACAAGGATAAATCCTCCAGTGCAGTGCCTCTTTCCATCATTCTGGGGTACTTTGATCTGTTTGGTTTCTAGAGTATGACTCAGCCTTAGAATATTTATATCTCTACTGTGGTGCCACAAGTAGAGATTATAATTCTTATTTATATTTGTTTCTTTTCTAAAAATAAGCAATTTATAATATTATAATAGTACATGTATATAATTTGTAAGTAAATATAGATATATTGGAGGGACAGTTTCAAAAGAGTGCTACTGGTAATAGTACATGACCACTGAACTAGAGAATGTGCCTTAAAATATTAACTTCAGAGCTGGGATATAGTTCAGTGGTAGAGCACTTGCCTTAAGCAAAGGAAAAAAGACACTAGTTTATATCCAAAACCAGTAGTTCACTCACTATTAAGAATGGAAAACAGTTGGGTAACAATCCACACATAATGTTTATATCTCAGCTTCTTGCTCTTCTTTTCTTCTTTAGGCCTAACAGTCCTTGTTTCTGCCTCAATTTGGAGTGTCACGTTCTATACATCAGTTCAAAACAAACTTACTAAGGAACTAAGATCTGTAGTGTAATGGTTTTGAGTGCTAATTCTGACTCTAACCAATATTTCTTGGAAATGTCTCCATCACATCCATGAAATGCCATTGATTGTTGCCCACACATTTATGATAATCTGGCAAATTTCAAATACTTTTTTATAAATTTGAAACAGCAAAATAAAACCCAATATTATTATAAGTTATTCTCTATCAAATATTTTAGAGAAAACAATTCTTGGTTATATTTTTTTCTTTTCTCTTTTTTTGTGGTGCTAGGGCTTGAACCCAGGGCTTTTCACATGCTAGGCAAGCACTCTACCACTAAGCTACACCCCCAGCCCTGTTTTTTCCTAATAGTTCAAGCTAAATTCCTATATACAAGTCCACCTAAGAACCTTGAATGTAACTATTCTGCAGGCCTCTTACTGTCCCTTGCAGAATGTAATCTTGAGAAACAAAGCAGCAGGTTCTAACCCACTAAGGCTTCAACAATCTTCCTTAACTCAAAACCCTGGCAAAATTCTTAGGCTATACAGGCTCACTCTTGTCTTGCTTTGCTCTTGGTGCTTATGACACTGAGTATTTGATTTATGCTCTAGTGAAGTACGGGTCCCTCTACCTGTAGCTGGAAGACAGATTCTAATAAGACATTTAAGGATGGACCCAGGCCCTCTTCGGGACTCTCCCACTGTGCTGCAGCTGCTGCTACTGCAAAAATGGGTTTCTCCCCTCCCACCACTACCTTACCTTGGCTTGGATATTTCCAGGTGCCCTGTCCATCTCTTCCTCCTGGGTTTTCGGCTCTCTGCAAGAACCATCAGGCAAAACAAGAACAGAATGATTCTTGTAAAATAAGGCATTTTGTGGATGTCTATGATGCAACAACGGGCTGCTTTCCAGTAACCTCCTGTGGGGCAAATCCCCCGTGGCTTGACCATTAATTCAGTCTTTGGCCTCCAGTGGATGCTGCTCGGAGGGCCTGTGAGAGGACGGTTGGCAAGGCCAATTTTCCCAAGTTACTATTTGATACTGATGCATTTCCTAACCCCCCCATGCCCCACCCACCAGGCCATGACACAAACACCAGCCTTGCCCTCCCTGCTGCTTCGAGATTGGCCATTAATCAAGAAGTTTGCCCTCCTGGGAAACTGCTTCCGCTGAACCCTAGAATGGCTTTGGCTAAATCTGTTACATAAAAAAAAAAAATTAAATCTCTTGAACATGCCAGCTTTTTTGCTGGGATCATTAATCCATCTCTCTGGGTGTATAAAACCAGTCTGTCACATCCAGCAGAGAGTCAGCATGGTTTCCAGATAGATCTGCTCGTGAAAAGAGTACATGAATGTGTTCAGGAAATGCTGAGAAAGCACACAAATGACCCATTTTCAGAGGGTTGTTTTATTAATCTAAGTAAATGTATATTTCCTATGGTCAAGGTTTACTATTTTCCCAAATATATACCTGGGTTTTGTTTTCTCAGTGTAAACAGCATATCAAAGCATAAAACAGATCTTGATATTGAAGGATAACATAATTCAAAAAAGAATTTCTGATTATGTAAGATCTTTTTCCTATCAGGATTATTAAGTTCACTTTGATCTGTGACTCTGAAATGTATATAGACAAACATCATAAACTGGGTTTGACTCCTATCCTGTGATATGGGATAATGCGCATTCAAAGTATAGAGATATATGCGGTTATGTTTAACTTACTGAACAAAATATAGTATGTTTAAAATTGCTTTCTGCTTGGCTGCTGTGCACTGGCAGTGGGGAGGAATGTGGTAGAAACAGAGAGGTGGGAATCAGAGGTCAGGAGGAGGGAGGAGGGAGAGCTGAAAAGGAAACAGAAATGGGGTTTTATTATGTAGGTAAGAAAAAAGCTAAAAGTAGCAAAGCAAGATGATATAATCCATTTTATTTTTTAAGGAATTCCTAATTGGGATCAGTTGAACAAGAGAAAATATAATAACCAAACAGAATGAGTTCTTTCTGTAAGTAAAGCAGGAGGGAAGGAGAAGAGGAAGAGAAAGAAATGAGATGGTCATTACTTCTGAAGTGGAATGCATTTGATGACTCCAGGAGGTGAAAGAATGAGAAAGAGAAGACAACAATGACATCATGAATTCTAGTTTAGAGGACTGAGGATGTAGCTCAGTGCTAAGAGCACTCACCTACTGTTCGAAGGGCCCCGTTTCAATCCCCAATACAAAAAAGAAAAGAAGTCCTCTAGCTTGGAGGTAGGTCTGAAGGCTTAGTAGGAGGGCACTACCATTAACTGATATCCATTAGAAGTGGACAAGTTTGGTGGAGAAATGAGATAAATTTGGACTTGTAGAGTTTATGGGTTTACTAGACCTTCAGGTGGCCAATATGCAGCTGGAGTATGAGGCTGGAACTCAAGAAAAAGATCTGGATTGAAGAATAGATTTGAAGTTATTAGGCTGTGATGGTAGTTTAACCCCAGGAGTGAGATCTTCCTGGACACAGAAAAATTTCAAGTCCAAGCACAGGATCCTGGAGAATCTAAACTGTTAATGAATGAGGAAACCAGAACAAACACATAGAAGGAATGGCAAAGAAGTTGACAGTGAAAATCAAAAGAGTTGAAGGGAGGGAGGGAGGGGGTAGTCAACAGCACTATGAGGGAGTCAAGCAACATGAGTACAGGAAACAAGTAATTGGATCTGGCTACCGGAACAGCATTCCTGACCTCAGCAGGTGCAGTTTGGGTTGTGAGATGTGATGAGGGTCCAAATTACAATGGGTTACATAGATGCTTGGGAGTGGAAATAATGTAGTGATTCCCAAATTGGGGCACTCACTGGAATTATCCAGAGGTTAACTGTTAATCAGGGCCTCACACATGGTAGACAAGGACTCTACCTTTGAATTACACTGCTAGCCCAGAAATTTGTTTACAAGTCTTGCTCCTTTCAAAGATTCAGTGGCGAGATACAAGACCTGTTAAAGTTCTTTTTTGTAGGTTTTGTTCAAAAAATCTTTTTTCCTTTCTTCTCTTCGGAACAAGTCTCTAAAGGACCAGCTAGAACACTAGAATTGTGCCTGGATGTTGTTTTCAAGAAATAGTTGTCTTTTTGCATTCAGTCCTGCTAAATATTTTCTTTAAAATTCTCATATCAACAGTTTAATTACTTATCTTTTTCTTTGATTGCTTGTGATCTTTTATCTAAGAATCCACTGTCTAGCCCACTGTGACAAAGATCTACTGTTTCCTTCTAAGAGTTTTATATTTAGTTCTACATTTAAGTCTTTGATACATTTTGAGTTAATTACTGTCTATGGCACGAGTCTATGTAGACAGCAGAACTTTTAACACTTGCTCATTTCTTTGAGGACAGAGGATCAGGCCCCACTGGTCCAGGGCTGTGGGAGGGCCTCAACACAATTTCAGGAGATCAGATTATTCCAGAAAGCTAGGCAGGACTCTGGTCAAACACAGCTTTGTGTCCTAGCATTAGAGTTAGGTGTACCTTAAGAGGAATAGGAGACAGTTCAAATCCGTGTGCTGAAGAACAGTCTGGCTGTGTGAGGAATGAAGGAAAACTAGAGACCTTTTAAGAGGTAATTGCAGTAACTTAGAAAAGAGAATGGCTATTTTAGAATAGTGACGAGAACATGAAGAGAAGAGGGAAGACAAGAAAAAGGTAATCAAGGGAGTAGAAGATATGAGAGATATGGAAGAATTCAACCTTTGGTCAAAAACAAGGTATGGACACAGCCAGTGGTTTTATTAAGCAGCTCAAACTGGTTCTGAAGGCACCTGACCTGCCCAAGAGGTGTTCCAAACAGCTTTGGGACATGCACACCTCCTACAAGGGCTTCAGTGGTGCATAAATTAATGTATACATTATTCTTGGCTAATGTCTGGTTCACTAAACACATTCACATCGCATATATGAATTTGCAAGAAATCAAACAATGTAGACTTACTTCACCCTAGGTTCCTGCTCAAGTCCAAGTGCATGAGGTTTACTTGTTCAGTGATTCTGATCTATAAAAAAGGAGTCTAAGGGCCGGGGATTTAGCTCAGTTGTTCCGCCACCTGCCTTGCAAGCGGAATGACCTGAGTTCGATCCCCAGTACCAAAAAAAAAAAGGAGTCTAAGACATCAGAATGTTTATTCATAAACCAAAAGGAAGAGTTATTTGCCTGAAATAGGAAATTTTATATTTCCATAGTCAAAACAATAAACAATTTTTAGTTTTAAAAATTGAGTATTTTTATGAAACTCTTCTATTTCAGTAGAATAAAATAAGCAGCATGGAAACAAAGTGCTACATAAAAGCCTCACATTACATAAAACCTGAAAGGTTCATTGGCTTAAAGTTACAGATGCAACATATGTATTTTGGAAGCATGCTACTTCAACCATCTTGATAAGTAGTCACGTATTGTGGTGCCAAAGAAAAATGTATGAATTACCTAAATTTCAGAATTAGGGCAATAAGGAATTCTAAGCCTTCACCTACCAGATTATACATCCAGTTTGGGCTTATGTTGGAATTAAAGGATTAAAGTGGAGCTTTAAAAATAAGAGTTTTCTGAATAGGACCTTTAGAGGGAGTTTCAATTAAAATGGCCCCAGATCAACTTTAATGTGGCTTTTTAGCCCCATGATGAGGGTCAGAGTGACAACTTAAGGATTTCTAGGGAGTGTATGTAAGGTGAAAGCAAAATGTGCCACTTTCAGATGTGCTATCAGGTGCTATAAATCCTAACACAAACAAGTAGCCGGTTACTTGATGGGTGAGGGAACACAAGTACATCAGATCAAACAGTCTGCACAACACTTAATTATAAACTACAGGCACACCTCATGGAAACATGCAGCGAGATCACACAGATCCACAGGCTGGCTCAAGTGTGATTAGAGAATTAAATGAAAGGAAGACTATTTCTAGCATACAACCTCAGCTTAGGTTGAGGGCATGAGTATTTCTTCCTCAGGTGACAATGCTACCTGGTCTTCCCAGTTGGGTCAGTGACTTCTAATATTTCTAATAGCTGTGTCATGAACCAAGACCTCAAAATGTATTTTCTCATGGCAATAAAGTTATAAAATGGTAATCTATAACTTTCCTGACATGAGGAAATTATAAATGCATTTCTAAAGCATAACTTGTTTGGAACCTGGAGACTGCTTATATTTAAAAATTAAATCTTCATTAGCAACATCCAAAGTGCTGCTAACTGAACATGCTGAAGACAATGTTTTTTGTGATTATATGGTCTCAAAAGACATTGTGATGATAAAATTATCTTACTAGCATATGTGGAAGTGGATAGCACTGAGATATTGATTTGTTTCACTGAAAATCTTTCTTGGGCTTTGTTAGGTAGACAATTCTAAGTAAAGGTTTTTCTAACTTCTATCACTGCTTCTGGGGCCCTGAGCTTTTCTATTAAAATGATACGTGAAATTGTACCTTATGTATATTCCTGGAATAATTAAAATTTATTGTGATTACAGAGCTAGGCGTATGTTTCAAAAGATACTTCAAAGCACAGCAAACATTCAAATCCTAAGATCCTCCCTCTTCTAGAAGAAAATCAAGTCTTGGGCTTTTCCTTCCAAAGATCTATGAAGGACTGTCTTTTCTTTTTTCTCTTTAATCTGTATGCATACTGGAGAGAGGGGGATGATAACAGCATATCAAAGTGGTTACAAAGTACTTCCTCTTCAAGTCACATCCAATAACAAAAATGTGATCTCATTTCCTCAGAAATGTTTGACCAAAATAAAGTTATTTTCATTCAAGTTATTTAGAACACAAAGTGACAGAATGGGCAGTACCAATATATATCCTATAAATGACACTTTAAAGAAGCTACTTGGAATTTTGCTTTTTCCCTTTTCAATTCTTCTATCCCTATGTCATTCTACCTATTGAGCAGTACTCAATAAATGGTTCTGAGTAATTAATAATACTCCTAGGAACTTAAAATAACATCTTTAACTGAAAATTTCGAAGAACTATATAGAAAGGTATTGCAAATTTAAAGAAGAAGAAACTGAGGCATGAGAAATAACAATAAGTTACTTCCCTGTGAAGCAAATCAAACAGTGAGATAAGGAACTCTGAATTCCAATCTCTTAAACTATGCAGGATACATTGCTTGGCATGGTCTGAATGTCTAGCTAAATTTATAATAAATTTATAAAAATCAAAAAAGGAATGAAGGGTAGATACAAAATAATTTCTTTGTAAACAATTCTTAGATTATACCCAATGCAGAATGTTTAATGAAGCAGCTGAGTCACAGCTCTTAATTCACAAAACAATATTATAACTCAAAGTCAAATATGTATTCATTGGCCATGTATATTCGTCGGAATATAAGAGCTGCCAATGCCAAAGTCAGGATGACAATCAGTACAGCTGATCCGCCATGATCTGTGTGGTTGTCTCTTGGCTGCTGGCCCTGTATTACATCTGGTGACATTGATGACCTTCTTTGACTCTGCTGTTGGGCCCGGCGTTGTCGAGGGCTCATGGAGGTATTCTTAGCTGCAGGTTGGGTAGGCTGTTGAAAGGATGCTGCTGAGGGATTCTGGACTCCATACTAGAAAATTTTAAGAAATTTTGCTTGAAACTGGCATATAAAATTTGTAGATATAGTTATCTATTCAAGAATACAAGGAATCTGAGAGTGTTAAATATGACTGGGGGCAAAAACTACTAAGAATTATGTGAATGCTGAGACAAGTAACTCATCCTGCTAAGTAACAACACAACTTATTCTGAGTACCCATGAGGTAAAGGAAGAATTTACCAGCAACAAAGTAGACAGTAAAAGTTTACCTGTTTTCTCCACAGATGGCTTTCTCATCTCCCTCAGATACAATTCTAGCAGTATTACTAAGTATCAGTTACTTCTCTTAGAGATCCAAGGAGGGAAATAATTTGATTTCCACTTTAAGGTTGAAAATTACACATTTTAAATGGCAAAAAGGCAACTCTCAATAGTGTGCCTTTCATTAACCAGGTTTCTTCCAGTATTATCTTACTATATCAATATACTTTACTACTAATAATAGACCACAGGAAGTAATTTCAAACCATAAATTCTTCATAGTAATACTGTAGAAATTTTAGATGTGGTTTTCAAACTAGGCTTACTCTTTCTCACAATTACTGAGAAGTGAACTGAACACAAGTCCATACATATCTTTTACTTAGTATTGGATACTTTACATTGTCAAGGTTCCCTGGGCACGTCTAAGAACAGTATCGAAGTAGTTAGATGCAGCTCAGAGTAGCTTCTACTTTGGCACACTGACTGCTGCTTTTATGACTGGTCACAGCATAACCACAATGTGACAGCAAGTGCTTTGATCTTAAACATGGCTTATCGATAAGAAAACTGGTGAGGGCATATTGGAGGAAGCTATGCAAAATATGAATTCCATAGTATTTATACAGGCACCTTAACTCTGTATAATAACTTGATGGACTTTCATTCTTTTAATGAAAACAACCAATGTACACTGGGTACATGTTGCCAGTACACATTCTTTCAAACAAAAAAAAGGCATGTTTTATACAAATAATATACATTAAGTATAAAATGCTTTAAAATGGTTTCTATTAGAGAACATTTAAATATCTGGAAGAAAAAATAATAATATAATTCAAATACTCTTCTTAAAAGGTAAGCAGATGAGCTTTGTGTTGGCAACAGCTTTAAACATAAAGAGAAAAAAATCTGCTGACCTAAATTACCTGCAGAAGAATTTCCATTTTAAATTTACCTCAACATTAAAAGGCTTAAATCTGAGTTTCTTAAAATTGTTCTTTAAAATCACTCAAATGTAGGACTCATAATATACAGGTAAAAAAGAACTACTGACTTTGAGTTAGAAATAAAAGTTAGTGCTGATACTGAATTGGAACTGCGTGTACTTGGGTGTCCATAATCCAAGACTCCAAGGAGCAATCTGCTCACTGAAGAGTGCAAACACAGCCCAGCATTTTATGAGTCACACACATTGTCACAAGTGTCATATGGTGAATTAATAAATACTCAAAGAGTTTAGTTGAGTTATGGCAGCCAGCAAGAAATATTCCAGTAGAAGCTTCCCATTCTTCTGACTGCTCAGCCAAGAACATAAAGTACCAAAGAGAGCCAACATATTCAAGACTTAAAGGGAAAGAGGTTCTTAAGGAAAAGAAAAAAAAATATGATGGTAATTTCCATCAAAAAATTAGCACAAGAGATTGGTTCAGATTAAAGCTTTTATTTTTTTCCATTAGTGTGAGGGGAGAACATTATCCTGCCTAAAAATCTGACCAAAACAGGAAGCCTTATCATTACTAGGCTGGCTTTGCCACTTAGTAGATGTGTAACCCTAAGCAAGTTATTTAACCAAATCTCAGCTCCCTCATCTGTACAATGAGGATAATATCCAATTCAGCAGTTGTGAGGATTAAATGAGATAATGATATAAAGTGCTTAGAATACACAACTGCTTATTATTTGGAAGCATCTAGAGTAAGGTTCAAAAAAATTAAAAATTACTTAGAGCTTTCTGGTCTTATATTAGTATGATATATTTAGAAAAACAATTCTTCAAAATATTGACTGTAGATAATAGTTCACTATATGGACTTAACAAAAATATTTATTTATATATAATGTTTTAATTACATTCCTACATTTCAGATGCCTTTTAGATGACACATTACTAAAACCTAGTGATATTACAAAGTTCTACAATGTTTCCTATTCAGAAGAATCATACTCATAGTTAAATCCCTAGAAATTTATATCAATTTTTCTATAATAACCTAGAATAACCAGCAACTGTGAGGGAGTTTTGTATTAGTTTCTATTAGGAAATGGAATGGCTGATTCAGAACCTCAATCCCTAGGAAGAGAGGAAAATCTAATAAACTGGAAGAACATAAAACTACCATCGGCTATTTTTTCCATTTCTACATAGCTAAAAAATCTGCATCAAAAACCAATAGATGGCCTGATGTTATCTGCTGTGGTTAGACTTTCCACAATCTCTTGCCCCCTCAAGGATAAAGAAAAAAAATGTAGCTTATCTGGGATATGATGTATAACATCTCAGTGAATTTATATTACACTTGCATCTAAAGCAGCTACCCCTCACCAAAACCAGTTAATTTCCCTTAATTCCATAGTGGTCAAATTATATAATCACATTTTTGAGAGTTTATATGCAAATGTAATTAAAAGATCCACTTGCAATTGTAGACAATTTATTACTCATGCATATTTTAACTAAAATTGGTCTCAACTAGTGAACTGTATCTATGAAAAAGAATTTTATGTACGTGAAAATGAATACTACTACAATAATGAAGTTGTAGTCTAGTTGACATATTTCTTGATTTCTTTACCTGTATTTCTACTATTATTTTAAAGTATCAATCCTAAGGTTTATTCTTTCATTCAATAAATATATAATGATCACCTACTATATACAAAGCTCTAAGCCAGGTACTAGGTGAACAGATCAAAAGAAAACTCTTAAGGAACTTACATTTTGGTGTATGAGATAAGGCAAGAATTACAAAATAAAATGCAATGGGAATAAGTAAAACTGGAATATGTAAGAAGAACACTTGACATAGATTTAAAATACACAAAAGACAGATTTAGGTACATCATCACAAATATTAGGAGACTGTCCTAATAGGTAAGATTACCCCTTCATTTTAGGAATAGAATGGCTCTATTGTGTGTGTGTGTGTGTGTGTGTGTGTGTATTTTGTGATACTGGGGATGAAACCCAGAGAGCCCTGCAAAAGCTAGGCAAGTGCTCTACCACTGAGCTACATCTGCAATCTAGGACAAAAACTTTATAAAATAAAAAATAATCAGAATACTAATAATGAAAAATAATCTGAAAGTTTAGCACTTCAAATTACAACTATTTTAAAATCAATTCATTATATTCCTCTGCATTCATACAATTGCTTTGGGATCATGTAAAAACAAACTCATCTACATTACTTTTGTCCCTTCATCTCCAGTCCTCCCCCTAGTACACACCTCCCTTAGCGGCCCCTCTCCCCTGCTCTTCTCCACCCTACTTTTCTCTGCTCAGTTCACTCGAAATAGGAAAAATCCACTCAAGACTATTCAGTGCACTTATATGTTATTCCTGAGTAAAGGACAAACCTGCTTTTTCCTAGCTTCATTTTCAATTTTCCTGACCTTTTAAAGTCCTCCATAAACGAGAGAGAAAAAAATAGATGTGACTACCTAATAATACAGTAAGAAATATTCCAGTAGAAACTTCCCATTCTTCTGACTGCTCAGCCAAGAACATAAAGTAACAAAGAGAGCCAACATATTCAAGAGTTAAAGGGAAAGAGGCTCTTAAGGAAAAGAAAAAAAAATACGATGGTAATTAGAAAGACCCCAAAACAGTTCAGTTTGTCTTTTATATATAGAAAGAAGTCATTGTTTTTCCCTGTAATCCTATTTAGCCCAGCCCAGTTAAACTTTTTTTGGTACCGGGGATCAAACTCGGGACCTCATGCTTGCGAGGTAGGTGGTGGAACCACTCAGCTAAATCCCCGGCCCCCCAGTTAAACTTTTTAAATCAGTCTCTCTGATGACCTAGGCCCACCAATCTTTTTAAGACAATAGGTCAAGGAACAACTAACAACATCCACAGCATTCATTCATTCTTTCTTCAAAAATTATTTTTTGGATGCTAAGGGCAAGGGAGCATCAGCCAATAGAGCTGTGCAGTGATAGTAAAGTTCTATGTCTACATGTCTATAGATGGTAACCACTAGCCACATGTGGCTACAGAGCACTTGAAATGTGGCTAGTGTGACTAGGGAATTAAGTTTTGAATTTCACTTAATTTTTATTTATTTAAATGTAAACTAAGATTGTCACATGTAGCTAGTGGCTTGTGTACTGGACAAAGGAGTCTAAGGTAAACTTTTGGCTCCATATATGTATCAAGTCAGGTTTTAACAAACCTGCCAAAGGTAGTGTTCATTTAGAAAGTGGCTAACATATTTTGTTTTATTCAGAGTCTAGCTCTATATTGAAAATAACTTTTCAAAAATATCACAGAATTCTGGAGGGACAACAGGACTGAAAAATTATTTAGTCTAGACTCACTTAAAAAAAGAAAACTAAATCCCAGGAAGTTTGAATAAATTGTTTAAGATAATGCAGTGGTACCTCAGTTCATGAACTTGATTCTTTCCATGATTCTGGTTGCAAACTGATTTGGACAAGAACCAATTCAATGGTTAAGTTCAAATTCAATGGTTAAGTTCAATGTTAACCTTATGGAGAAATTTGATTCGGTTCTCATACCATTTGGTTTGCAACAAGAAATGTGGAAAGAATTGAGTTCGTGAACCAAGGTACCATTGTACAAGTCATCAGAGCTGGGCTGAAACCCAACTTTTCAGAGAACCAAATTTTTCATATATTTGATCTGAGATCTTCTATTCCAAATAATGATAATGATATAGAAATATATATATTAACAAGTAAGAGCCATACCGAAGTGCTGGCCATAGCATCCTGGAATGTTGTAGGTATGTTATCTTGTAAATCATTTAGTGAAAAGGAGTGGTTTAACTCTGACTCAGCAATGGTCTTTCCAGATGAATTGACTTCTGCCTATAAACAAGAAATATCCAACAACAGTGTTACAAGAAGAAACATATAGAACAGCACACAACCTATTAAATTCTCTTTTGGATTTATTTTCATTGCTACTTTAATAGCTACTATTAATCAGTAACTTTATTCAACCTATTTCTTTTTTTTTTTTTGGTACTGGGGATCAAACTCGGGTCCTTGTGCTTGTGCAGCAGGCAGCAAAACCACTGAGCTAAATCCCCAGCAATCAGTAACTTTAACAGCTACTATCAATTACATAGCACCTATGTGTCTAACATTGTGCAAGGCATTATAGGAAGAGATAGAGACAATCCCTGTTCTCAAGGAGCTGTTACTTGGTGAGGAACAAAACCAATACCATGCTTCACAATCTGTAATCTAAAAAGTTCTCATAAAAATCTTTTTTGGACAATTTTTAGGCAAAGCCTGATATATGAAGTGATGTGAAACAACTTAAGTCTTTTTTTTTTTCCAGTGCTGGAGATCAAATGAAGCATGTCATATGTGCTAGGCAAGCACTCTACTACTGAGCCACATCACAGTCTTTAGGAATGTCTGTTTAACTTTGGCAGTGTTGGAGATCAAACCCAGGGCCTCACACTGCCAGACAAGGGCTCTACCACTGAGCAACTTTCCCAGGCCCCTAGTAGTCTTTATCCCTCATTACTGTAAACAGCCCTGGTTTGCTAAGAAAATATAAATGTGTTTGATTATGAAGTGCTGCTTTACATTCTACTGCAGCTTGAGTTAATATATGGTATATGTAAGATATTTTCTAAAATCTGAAAATTTGTGATGAACAAAACATATCTGGGCCAAATCCTCTCAAAGAAGAAATTATAACCAACACTTATACCTTCTCTTCCAGGCACTACAATAAAATAGAAGGGAAAACTTCCAAGAACTGGACCCAGAAGGACAGACAGGGTATAGAGAGGTAGAGAAGGGGAGGAGGTAGCATGTTGCTTAATACAGGTTGATATTTTTTTAAGAACTTATTAAATTAGAACTGTAAGTATAGCTACTCAGTGTTAAAATACTATATAAATTCTATGTTTGGGTAAAACATGCAGACAAAGGAATAAAAGGGATATATGGCAAAATGTTACACTTGATCTTAGCCAAAAGGCCAAGAAGCGATATGTGGCAAAATGTTAAGTGTTATTTTGGGGAAATAAAATTATGGGTGATGATAATTTTTTTTTTATTAAATTTTTCTTTTTTAAAACATTCATATTATTGGATAAATATTTCTTAAAAATATAACATGTACAAAAAAAAAAGAGCAGGCTCTCAATCAGGATGGGTCAGTTACTTCAGGTTCAGTCACTTGGTTTGCATCCCCCAGTAGGTCACCAGAGCTGTGGACACTGAGGGGCAGGCTGCTGCCCTAAGCTGGGCCTCTTCCTTCCCACATCCAGGAAGTCATAGGCCTGCTCCAAGAGGTCGAAAGGTTCATGGACCCTGTCCTGCAATAGCAGAGCCTGCAAGGCGCCCTCATTCTCATGGGTTTGCCTGAAGTCAGTGATGATTTTCTAACATGCAGCCTCGGTCTCTTCTTCAGCCCACTTGAAGCGGGGCAGGAGAGTGGAGTGCAGCAGCAGGAGCACGCAGTCATGGTAGATCAGGAGGAAGCTGACCTTCAGAAGCTCCCTGTCTCTCTTCTCTGATCTTTTCAATGTGCTTTCTTTCTCAGCTCACAAACTCCACAGAACATCCATCACTTTGGGCTGCTCCAAGGGCTTGGGGAAGGAGGCCAGCATTGGGTGACTGATTAGATCAGTACTTTGTGAGTTCATCCTGTCTTTCAGCAACACATCTCCAAGAATTTATTGATACAATACCAAGTGAGAGCAGCACATACTTCCAATCAATGTATCTGGCAGGAGACTTGGCATGTTTCTTGATCTTTGGTTCAGAGACCTGTTTTATTAGAAGTTGAGGCTGCTTTCTCATGGTCAGCATCTGATAGAAAACACTGCTGTGTGCTCTCCTGGACACAGAAGGGTCCACTTCCACACCTTTCTCATAGGGAGTCCTGCCGTTCAACAAGAGTTTTGGCAGGCATAGGAACACCATTGGCATCGAACAGCTTCAGAAATGCCCAGCCACAACTTAACTCTCCTCGTTCACCAACTGAATTGTGAACATAAGAAATTCCAAGTTCAAACAATATTCTGAGGTCTGGAGATGAAGAATTGGACCTGATGAAACAATCACTATCAAGCAAGCAGGGCAAGAGGCCAGTAACCTGGGGAGAAAAAGCCCATGTTTTGGGCTTTTTAGGTTGCCACGTGGCTCGGACTGTATGAATGTTGCTCAGAACCTTTCTGTTATTGATGTCTAATTTAATTCCATGTGCTCAAAGACAATATATTGTATGGGTTTCAATTCTTTCAAATTTGTGAGGTTTGTCTTCTGATCACCCATCTAACTTTGTGAATATTCCTATGTACCTGTTACTGTCGAACATACAAGAGGCGCACGTGCCTGCTGAGGACCTGAATGCTCGTTCCCAGGAGAGGAATCATCTTACAGCTCCACAGGGTCAGGACCAACGAAATATGGCTGGGTCTTGACCTGACAGTGCCCAACTTCACATCCCACACTAGGTCTTGGAAGGCCCGCTGCAATGCCGTGAGCTCTTGCTGTAGGAAGTAACCTGCTCAAAATTGATTCCCTTCCTCCAGCAGCCGGGAGAGTGTGGAGGGCCGGAAGCCTGCAGGAATCGCCCCCATTGCCGTCAGCACATCTACAGTGTTTATCTCTGAGATAGCTTTTCGAACAGCATTCCAATGGGAATTAGTTCTTTGCTTCACTTCATTTCCATCTGCTGCTTCGTCTCCCATCTCCACATCTTCTTCACTGTCTTGTTCACTTGATTCTTGGTCTTCTTTTTCTTTATTATAGGGCTCCACATAGGTTTTGGGAATAAGACCTTCATTTCCTTTGGTATTCTTAGCTATCCAGCAACCATCAGGCTTTTTTTCAATTATAAGGAGAATTTCCCCTTTCTTAAATGTAAGATCCCCAGCTTGCTGAGCAGTAAAATCTCCAAGTGCAATGTATTCTTTATTTGCTGCTTGAGAGATTCATCTCCCTGTTACTCTTCTTCCTCTTCAGATTCTTCTTCCTCTCCAGCATTTTCTTCACTGTCTTCTTCTTCTTTGTTGTCATTGTCGTCACTGTCATCATCATTTTGTTCTTTAGTAGAATCACCATCTTCTTCTTTTTCAGTAGGTGCACCTGTCAGTCTCTCCCCATGTCGGGATCTGCCCTGCTTGCTTGATGAGCGGTGCCTGCAGACAGCTGCTGTGATATTCTGCCCCAACTTCATGGTTAGTCATATTTTCTTTACTTATGGCCACAGCAAGTCCCTGCAGTTGGTGGGTAAGCTTGTCCAGCAGGGCCTGCTCCTCTTCTTTCCTCTGATCATAGTTTCCGACAGGTGCAGCTTCATCAGCCTTCTTTAATTTTTGAAGAGTACTTTTATTTTCATCTATTGCCTGTTTTAACTGAATACATATTTGGTAAATATCTTGCCTTTTATTGGGTTCCAGAGCTCCTTTCAACTGGCTTTCAGAAAACAAACTATCAACCTGTAGCTTCAGCTCCTGGCTGCAGTGCCATACCACCTACCTATTTATTTATTTTTTAAGAGACAGGGTCTCACTATGTAGCCCAGGCTGGCCTGGAATTTGTGGCGATCCTCCTGCCTCAGCTTCCTGAGTGCTGGGATTACAAGCTTGTGCCACCACATCTGGTTTATAATTTTATTCTTGTTACTTACCTGTGTTTTCTATAACAGCTAGAATTTATTAAGCACGAGGGGCAGAGGTAAATGTAATACATGTACTACCTATATTAACTCACTTAATCCTTATACCGTTCCAATAGGATGGGTACCCTTATTACTTAGGAAGAGAAAAAAAACACATTATGGTTAAGTAATATGTCTGACATTATACTACTAATAAAATGCAGAGTTGAGATTTGAACCTAGGTATTGTTGTATACCAGAGTCCAGGTTTTAACTGCTCTGCTGTTAATGCTTTAACTTTTTTTTTCTTTTTTTTTTCTCTTGAGACAGTGTCTCACTACGTAGTTCAGGTTGGCCTTGAATTCACTGTGTAGGCCAGGCTGGCCTCAAACTCACAGGAATCCTCCTGCCTCAGCCTCCAGAGAGCTGGGACTAGAGACCTGCACCACCCCCACCAGCCTGTAATGCTTTTATGAATGTGAACTGTGAGTTTTGTGATAAGAAAGAATTATTTGTAAAACCTACTGCAATAAAACTATATTGCTTTCTTTCTATCCAAAATTCAGTAGTAAACAAAAAGTCTAGATAATTAGAATTTATTTAGTAATTTATGGTACCTTAAAACTGATTTGTCTTGCGAGTTCCTTGGCTTCTTGGTCAGCCTGGCTTGAGTCCCTTCCCATTTTTAAAGGCATCAGGACATCCTTCATGGCAGAGCCACAGCCTTCACAACAAAATTCTTGTGATCTGGTAGGAAATTATTTTGTATTAAAAAAAAAAGTCCAGAGCTTAGATTTCTTTTTTCAATAAACTACCAAAAGAAAAATACACTTCAAATCTATATAGTGACAAAATGTATAAATTATCTATGATATTGTCCTTAAGTTTAAACATAACAAGCTTATTTAAAGGTCATGAAAAAAGCCCATTATAAAGCTCAAACTATCTTTTAGCAGAAACATAAAGCAGTAAATAAGTCAACTAAAAATAGCTTCACAATTATTTCTTGAAAAAATTCACAAACCTCAATTAAACAGCAGTATAATTTGAAGACTTGGAAGAACTTGTGGAAAATACTAAGAATGAATCTATCACTGATTATAAAGATAAACCTGTTAACTCATCTATTTCCTTAGATATGATTTTCCATTATGCCCTTTGTATTCCAAATTGCTATGAGGATTTTAATGACTGAAAGTAAACATGTATAATCTACAGAAACACATAGTTACATTGCTGAACTTCTTTTTTAAAAAATGTTTTTAAGGGCCAGGGATTTAGCTCAGTGGTTCCACCGCCCACCTCGCAAGCACAAGGACCCGAGTTCGATCCCCAGTACCAAAAAAAAAAAAAAAAAAAAAGCAATAAATAAATAAATAATGTTTTAGGGTTGAGGATACCGCTCTGGGTAGAACAGTTGCCTACCATGTGCAAGGCTGTGAGTTCAATCCCCACCACCACAAAAAAATAAAATAAAAAAGTAAAACTTCTTTTTATGGTGCTTCTAGATTAAGTCAAAAGCCTAAGATCTTGCAGAACATGCTACATAAATTTATAAAATAAAAAAAGTGGAGAGGGGAAGGAGGGAGGAAAAAGTAAAAATGATCAAGATAGTGTTTGTACTAATTCACCAAGACAATTAGTTATTGTGTATAAAAAACTTTCTGCAGCAAAAGAATTTTATAAAATGATGTAAAAATTTCTAAAAGTAACATTTTGTATTTATTATAAATATTTTTTGTTTCATCAGAAGCAGCATTGTTGTTCATATTTCCTTAGGATATCTTGTTTTAACTGAGAAGTCAGATGAACCTTACAGGAAAATGTTTATTCTTAATGTATGGTTTATCCACAAGGACAGTAGGCTACCATGGCTGAATGCAAAGTCATTTTTATGCCTTTTTT